GCTATTCAGATGGATACCATCTAAAGCAACAGATCTTGATTGAATAAGCAAAGTCAATTAGGGACTTGTTATGTCCGAGTTGGCGTCGGAGCTCGGGGTGAGTCCAATCAGATCTCCACATGAAAGGTTATTCTTATTCATCCTAGCAGAATAATGACCTTCCAGATCCGCTTGGCTACCATTTAAAACGAACTCTGCATGACTGCCGATCATGAGGTTACTTTGCGTACGCAATTTTGTGGTCTGCCAAGAGGGGAGAATCGGCTTTGCAATATACATCGGGAGCTAATACTTTGGGGTGCGTTTCGACTTTCAGGTACCCGCCCACCTTGTGTTTGCCGTATCAATGATTTGACTGCCATGGGATATTCGAATTCCCCTTCATTTCTGATCAGTGTAGCACGGCCTCGAGTCTTCAGTGCTGCTGCGCTGTGAGCCGTGATTATGCTCAACACGATCATGAGCAGCTCCTTCAGTACACCGGTGGCGAACATGGAAGTAGTTGTATCAATCCTCTTACAATATTATATGATGCAGTCTTGCTATGGTCTGTTATGAAAATGTTCATTGGCTGTAGCACATGTATTTGTGGTTATTTTCACATTGTTCGGGGAACATTTATACATGTAAACGCAGTCACACCAATTGTAAAATAAATTTATACACATGTATTGTGTCTAACGGTTATACATTCTCCCGCAAGATTTTGATTATTTAAACCGCTGTTCTGAGCATTTCTACTTGGCCTGTTCTCCGACGGGAATGGGGTCAAGACTTATGCATGATCGATCAAAGATGGACCAGCGTCAATCGGGAACGTGAAGATATTGTTTGGCCCCTCCGCCATCAGTCCACTGCCTCCAGGTCGCATCTGAGAAGCAGGCAGCCAAAGCTTCTTGTCCGATGTAACCCACATGAGATCAGTCCAGACCAGGGCAGGATCTTGGACGAGTATCGTGGCATAGCCTGCAGGAGTGATTTTCCAAATTGCCAAAAGGTTGGTGTCGGAGACGTAGATGTTGCCATCGCCATCAATGGTCGATCCGCCAGTGCTGGGAGTCAGGGCAAAAGGCGTGGCGTAGTCGGCGAGAGAGGCAGCTAATGTAGCGTTGGTGAGGGCAGCGTCGACATGAGATGTTTCAATGCGGTAGAGGCCACCATTGCATGGCTGGTAGTACAAGTACACTCCATCTGGTGACACTTCAATCTGATCCAGGCCGACTGAAAGGGTAGAGCCTTCGCCGCCGTATCCAGGCACCAGTGTGCCATTGTACATCATGGGAAACCAAGCGACGGCGGAAGGATCGTCTGCGAGCACACGCACGCCAGCGCCAGTGGTGAGGTTCAGGACCAAGAGTGCTCCAGCAGTGTCGCTCAGATAGGCCACATCGCCGCTGGGTCCAAACCGGACGTCATCAATGCCACTATTAGACGCCTTGATATCGTCGAGGTAATAAATCTTATCGACCTCGTCATTGGTAAGATTGACTCCCACCAGCTTTGTGGAGCCGTTCAGACCTTGCGATCCGCCATCGACAAGCCAGTACCTTCCATCCGGTCCAATGCGTGCGCCGTCAATGCTCACAAATGTGGTCAAAGGGTCGGAGTCGGGGTCGCTGGAATTGTAGCTATTCCACTCGGCGTTGGGATAGAGGACGGTGGTGTTATCTGCGAGCAGCTCAACTGTAATAGGCGGAAGAGTTGTAGAATAGCGCTGGGAGAGGAACTTTCGGCCATCAGCAGAGATGAAGATTCCTTGTGTGGCCTGGTCCAGGGAGTAGACGAGCTCGAGACCCGGCGCAAGGGCCGTGACGAGGTTTGTCAAGGCAAAGCTTGCAAGAGTCGAAGTGATGGAATATTTCATGATGATTCGGGACTGCTCCACGAGCCAAAGGACTTGATACAACCAAAGGCGAGATGGAAGTCAATGAAGCCGAGGGATATAGCATCAACAAATGACTCTGGTCTGCTATTTATGCTGCCAGCTTGGTCAAAAGAGGCCCACAGCTTGAACTCGGCGTTACGCACAACCTACAGGAATCTCTTTGACATGGTCTCGACATCCTGGCGATATACAACGTTTGCAAATTGCCATCAGGATGGGTGTCTCATTCCGCCAGCACTATTCAAGCGACGATCAGTTGCCGAGTGTATGTGGACCTCTTTAGCGATAACTTCCACCTGTCGGCCGAGACACTAACTCCGACGTGATATTTTGCATATCCATGTGCTACTACACGATCTGATGGGATTTCTGGACTCGAGTAGACCGTTGCTTGGACCGCAAAGTCTGAATGAGCTTGTGTGGCGCTGCATGATGACGTTTTCGTACGATCTTGTGTCTAGGTGTAGAGCCCGCTCGACCTCTGCTTCATTGTAGTATAGCAGTACCTGATGCCATGCCGCTCAGGGGTATTTGTTTTCCCAGTGAAACATTTAGAGCAACATCACCAGTTCGTAAGGGTCGGAGTATAGAATTGCTGTGGTGTAACCAAGTCAAGTATAGCTTGGGAGATGAAAGCCAGATGTGTACAAGACATACGCTGTGCTGCATTGGACAATCAACACATACAGAGTAGGCTGTCGCTTCTTTTCAGGTTGCCATCCTGTGGATGGTGGTCAAAGACTTTGGAGTAATTGACGATATCATAAAGTCTATGCTTGGTGAAATATCATCAGGCTTCAAGAAAAGATAAGGCTGATCATCGAGGGTAAATATTGTGACCCGCGAAGCTGCGCATAGGTCTGATTATAGTATAACAATACGAATACGTCGGTACGTCTATCCCGTGGAACGTCAGAACCGACGAGAGTCAGCGCACCCTGGCCTCTACGGTAAGTGTTCCGTAGCATCTGAATCATGGGGTAGCTCCACTGTAGACCTCGGCATATGGCAGCGGACCAACTACTGGCCGAATTTCGACCAATCACACCTTTATCTTCCAAATTTTGCACTGCTTTTGGCAGCGCTGCTTAGAAATCATCGTGTCCACTATCCGTACATATGTCTCCGAACTTTCGATCGGCAACCCCTGCGAACTGTGCCGCTGAAGATTCGCTGAAGATTCGCTAAAGATTCAAGTCGTCTGTCCCCTGGCAACCCCATGATGACTCTTTATATAATTATTTCGTTTGACTCAGACGTTTTGATGCCATTTCCAAGGGAGCAATCTGCCTCCGGAGGTGAAGCATGCCTCGAATGACCAATGACCCGTCTCACGTCTTATAAATATCGGTGTGTATTTTGCGCCGTTCGCCTAGTCGTCGTAGGCGTAGTAGGTTCTAGCCCAATCTGTTCCATCATGCGTGGAGGTCAACTGTGGAGCGGCGATCGAGTTCGGTGGAGGCCAGGGGAGGACCATTTGCCCTGCTTAGAAGCCCTGAATAGAATGTCTCACGAGTATATAATATGATCAACCAGCCGCGCCAGAATTTTGTTCCCTTCAGTCAAGAGCGAAACCGTCTTTTCTCTACCGAAACAATATCCAATCAACCAAAATGACGGAGTCTTCATCCCGTTACGGATCAGTGGGCACTGACCCTTCGCCGCTGGGTCAACCTCTGGAGTTTCCCATCTCCAAGCGAGTTGCGATCAATCGCTTTCTCAATGGCGCCATGTCGGAGAGTCTGGCGACCTACGACGAGACAGATCTTTCGGCGCGAGGTATTCCTGGCAAGGAACTCGAGCAGCTTTACCGCGCATGGGGCGAGGGAAAATGGGGTCAGATTCTGACTGGCAACGTCATGATTGACCCGGGACACCTCGAGGCTCCCGGTAACATGATTGTTCCTCAAGATGCACCCTTTGAGGGAGAGCGATTCGAGGGCTTCAAGGCCATTGCAGCTGCCGGCAAAGCACACGGCAGCTTGATTGTCCCCCAAGTTTCGCATCCTGGACGCCAGGTACCCGAAATTGTACAAAAACACCCAGTCAGCGCGAGCGACATGCAGCTGGTTGTCCCGGCCATGGGAAGAACCTTTGCCAAGCCACGCGCCGCCACCAAGGAGGATATCGAGGGCTTCATCAAAGGCTTCACCCATGCCGCAGTCTACCTAGAAAAGGCCGGCTTTGACGGCATTCAGCTGCATGGTGCTCACGGCTACTTGCTTGCGCAATTCCTTAGCCCCACCACCAACAAGCGAACCGACCAGTACGGAGGCAGCCTCGAGAACCGCATGCGTCTCATCCTCGAGATTGCCGCCTCCATTAGGGCTCAGGTCAGCGACAAGTTCATTTTGGGAATCAAGATCAACTCGGTCGAGTTCCAAGACGAAGGATTCACCCCCGAGGAGGCCATCACATTGTGCCAATCTCTGGAAAAGGCCAAGTTCGACTATGTCGAGACCAGTGGAGGAACCTACGAGTCTATGGCCTTTGCTCACAAGAAGGAGAGCACACGCAAGCGTGAAGCATACTTTATTGAGTTCTCTGAGCAGATTCACAAATCCGTCAGCTCGTTGAAGGTTTATACCACTGGTGGATTCAAGACTGTGGACGGTATGGTTCAGGCATTGAGCAGCGTTGACGGTGTTGGCATCGGGCGCGCCGCGACTCAAGATCCCGACTTGCCTGAGCTGATCATCTCTGGCAAGGCGACAGGCGTTGGAAAGTATGCGCTTGAGGAAGACAACTTGTTCGTCCGTCTGGCTGCAGCAAAATCGCAAATCAAGCAGATTGCGAATGGCGAGAAGCCAGATGACCTTACGGATCCTGAGGTGGTCAAGAAGATTCTGATTTCTCTTGGAATGCCTTGAACAGTACTATAGCAAGATAAATTCTAGAGAAATAGACAGCCATGGATTTCCTTATTTGATTGTACTAGAACAAACCAAGTGTCAGTACTATGTCAACAGTCATGATTGGGAGGTTTATCCGTCTTGATTTGAGAAAAACCATGTCCATTTTCGAGATTCTGTATCGTTGTCCCGCAAATAAATGTCGAAGCTGATATATATGTGGATAAAGGCATATTCTCCAACCAATCAGAGGTCTCCAAAACGGGCTTGTGGCGTAGTGGTAACGCGTTCGCTTTGCATTCATTCAGCAATATGCGAAAGATCCGGTGTTCGATCCACCGCTGGTCCAACTCTTTTGCCACTTGTTAAAAGAACGAGCAAGGGCAATCAATTCTTTTTGCATACCTAGTCAAAAAGGGAACTTTGGCATAACTTGCTGACCAAATATAATGACGGAACCAACTCGGACTCGAGTGTTCCTAATAACCAAATCAACGGTCAATTGCTGGTGGCCAACCAAGGTATTATCTATCCAATGTTATTGTTCCATTTGCCCTAGACGTTAGATCCACACACAAGTAAAAGACTCGGCGTGAAATGAAACCTCGGAGACACGCCTGGAATAACTTGAATGCTCGTTCCTGTGCCAAAGAAGAAAAAGAGAAAGAGAAAACAAAAAAAGAGAAACAAAAATACCAGGCATAGTCAGGCAAAACATTGTCCTCGGTGAGGCTCGAACTCACGACCTTCAGATATCTTGAAGTATCCAATCAAGTCATATGTATATAATATGAGACTGACGCTCTAACCAACTGAGCCACGAAGACTTTTTCTGTTGATGACAAATGCCCCCTCTATAATCACTCATGTTGAACAAAAGTTGTTATAGTTTTCCGATGTTGATCGCAAGTATTAGTGGGTTCATTCAGAAGTAAGATTTCAGGAAGTTGAGAGCCATCATTCGCACCTAGTCAACTGGAATCCGGAGATCAGGGGAAGGGCCTTCGGTACCGAGTCTTTTTGTTGGATTTGTGGATGAGTACCTAGGTAAGTATACTTTACTTATTAATCCGAGAACAATCCAAAGACCTTTTTATTAGTATACGACATCGTGGGACATCGGGGGAAAAGTGGTATTATTTCAATACTTCAGCTCATCTTAAACCAATAAACGGAGCCCGAGTGCGCGGATCAGCGGCCGTGGTAGAAATACAATTCCACTTGGCTTTAATCAAGCCCTACCGGTATGTCGCTTTACAAACATGCATCAATTGTGAAATCCCAAGATATCCCAACGGGCTGTACTCGCTGGTGCCGCGCTCCCGATGCGTGCGCTTTTCGGACCATGCTCGGAAAGCCACGATGTGCCCCATCACAAGTCTGGATGCTGTTGCCGGAGAGCTGGAGACTGCCAATATACCTAAAGTAGGTATTTCCTCTGATATCATGATGTCATATCTCACTTACTTGTTGTGGACATTAACCGCCATGCCTCATAGTATTTGTGGCCTGTAGTGCTAGGTAGAGGTGTATGGCGCATGAGGTCGGAGAGTATACCATGATCGGCTTGTGCTCAAGGCGGTAGTTGTCGGATCTGCCACCAGATTCCGATGGGTCTATCCGAACCCTTCTCGTTGATGGAACTGCCGCCAGATACCAAGCAAGGTGCAAGATACAGAGCCGTTCTATGACGCTTGCTTACACCATTGGGATCAAGGTCGTAGAAAGACAGGCGCGTACGCGCTTGCCATTTTGTTGTCAATATTCGCCGAATTGACTTGTACGACGATGGAAAAAAAAAAAAGCAATACATAAGAAATTCCCCGCATTGCATTGCCGCATGCAGGGCCGCGGCCGCCGCATACTTTTATTAGTGCACCTCGGAGCCCCTGTCACGCCCATGCGCAGAATTTCGGCGTCGACCGTGGACAGACTCCGACTGACTAATGAGCCTCACAAGCTAGAGTAATCGCGTGAGATAATCTCATAAGCTGGGGTCCATCATCTTGTAAACCTGTCTGTTGGTTGTCACAACTTGCGAGCCTCTATCTACATAGCACATTGTTGCTCTTACTCGGTTCTGCTTTCTGCTTCATCTCTGCCCGTTTGGCTCATGTGTGAACTTTGTTCCGGTATCGTAACCCCACGTCAGACTTGCGATCTCCGACCCCGCCGAGCCCGCCGACGCCAGGTAGTGTAGGTCGCTGCGGCCAACGAACTCCTCGTCAGATTGCGCCATCACACCTCTTACTGCGAGATTAGAGCATTCTGCAACAAGACAGCGCTCACAATTTCTCCCTTTCCGACCTTTTCGAAAGCGACCGCAACTCAATTCTCGAGACCTTGCCGCCAATGGATCGGAGGAAAGAGCAGCCCGAACAGTGGCACGAGGAGACGGCTGACCTCCCGTCTTTCTACTCCCCGCGATCGCGGCCCGTGGGTGACCATCATGAAGCCACGGCAGCCAGCACCACCCAACTGCATCGGGATGCGCTATCCCTTGCGGCGCTGTCTTCGCTAAACGACCAGCCAAGGCCGGCAACATCTGCCTCGACGCATTCAGATGACCAAGCTCCGCCGCCGCCATCGTTACTATCTCCTCAGTTCACCCCGCCGGCCACACCCGGCACCGCGACGCCGTCGACCGAGCAGCCTCGAAGTGTTCCCGTGGATTCCTCCTTGCCCTCTGGCGGAGCAGGAGTGAAGAGGCCAAAGCTCCTCGAAACATTGCCAGACGTACAATGTATAGTACGAGCGCGAATTCCGACCGTAACCGGTACAGAAATGTTCCTCCACTTGTACACGAACAATGTGGACAATAAGGAACATCTTGCCATTGTCTTTGGGAACAATATTCGGAGCAAGAGTCTCGATGCGCCGCGAGAAGGCGAAACAGAGATGGACCGCATGGTCCGCGGCGCATACACTGGGCGACTCTTCCCAGGACGGACGACCAGCGGCATGGCCGGCCCTTCAATCGCAGCGCACGAGCCAGAGACACCAAATGGCCCTCCTCTTGTAAGAATTCACTCCGAATGCTACACTGGAGAGACGGCATGGTCGGCGCGCTGCGATTGCGGCGAGCAGCTTGACGAAGCGGCTCGGTTGATGTCGCTCCCTTCTCAGTGTCGCAAGGGTGGCATTATCATTTACTTGAGGCAAGAAGGGCGAGGTATTGGCTTGGGCGAGAAGCTGAAGGCCTACAACTTACAAGATCTGGGCTCGGACACAGTGGAAGCAAACCTGCTGCTTAGGCATCCGGCCGATGCGAGGAGTTACGGTCTGGCTACAGCCATGCTGTTGGACCTTGGTCAAGAGGAGGTCAGACTGCTCACGAACAACCCAGACAAGATTCGCGCAGTCGAGGGACCCAACAGAGAGGTCAGGGTCAAGGAAAGAGTGGCCATGGTTCCATTGAGTTGGAAAGGCAAGGGCGGGTTCAGGAGCCAGGAGGTGGAGGGATACTTGAAGACAAAGGTAAGTCAACTGCGATCCAGTCACGAAAGATGACGTGACTAACGGAACTCACAGATTGAGAAGATGGGACACATGTTGGACATGGGAGGAGTACCTTCCAACTCTTGATTGCGTGTGAGCTACTCGTATAACAGTCGGACTTGCTTTGAGCAAGAGTTGTGCAGAAACTCCGCCGTGTCCCGACAATATGGTAGACCATGTTTGGCGCAGGCGCTCCTGTTGGTATCTGACTGGTGCCGAGATCCAGGTATGCATTCCTCCATGGCATTTCAGTGCAGCCTGCCAGCAACGTGTGCAAGCGGAAATCGCTTGACATGATGGCACCCAGAAACAGGCTATATCAGGACCTAAAAAGCAGTCACTGAGTTGATTGCAAGTATGATCTCACGGGTAGACTGACCAAGTCCAACCACGTGGGTTTGACGGCGGGGACTCCATAGCGATATATCTATTACATGTGAATATACAAAGACACTCGCAATATTGGAACGATTCCTGACTTGAGAAGATGCTGTCAGTGGGAGGTACATGTGTCTCTCTATTTGTCTATTTGCGCCTGTGCATTTACAATGCGCCGGGCGGCTTTTCAAACCATGCCCATTGTGCACCGTCGAGCAGAGAGCGGCTGCCCCACTTCATGTCGCTGCTTTTCAGGGTCCACTGATACTGGCCGGGGTACACTAGCGCGTTGTTTCCGCTGTCGCGGATCCAGTAAATGTTCTTCAAGCTCTTTAGGTAGCCAAGCGCGTCACAAGTCAACCCTCCGAGTCTGGTATTTTCCTGTCGCAAAGTATTATTTGGGGACCGACGAGCATGACGCCCTGCGGCAAACTTCAAGTTCACAGCTGAGAGAGGTCACTTTCCGACGTCAAGGAAAGATCAGCATTCTGTACTTGCGCCACCCAGGCGCCCAACTCCAACAACCTGCCCATGTCTTCGTGATGGCCTCGCATTTACGACTGCGGCTGGTAGTCCGCCGCAACGGTCTTCCCGAGACCAACGTCATCTGGCCCGTGTCTCTGGATGATAAACCAACCGTTGCAAGACTCTTGGAAAAGGTCAACGAGATTTTGCCCTTGGAAAGCGCAGACTGGGGACTGGAAGACTATGCGGTCGAACTCAAAGGCAGCGACGGCTGCTTCTTTGAGTGCTTGCATTTTCAGCCCATACACAAAGTTCTGAAGGAGGATGACCAGGTCTTGTGAGCTCCCCATGCCCAAGAAACCGTTCTGGAAAAAGACTAACCAGGCTTCCAGCATCCGGCCTCTTTTCACAGACGACCTACGACAACGCCGAGTGAGCGGGCGCCACCAAATATCAAACGATGGAAAGCACCTCATTGATGGCTTGGCCTTTGGTCGGCCGTTACTGAAGACCCCTAGAGGTCGACCAGCCTTGGACATTCCGCCACGAAAGCGACGACGCGTTAGTCTAGAAGACATGGACATGGACGCCGACGAAGAGGGTGACGCAGACTACGACCATGCCGAGGAAGATCTGGAACCAATGTTGCTTCTCACCAACGGAGAAGAGCAACTTCAGGAACGAAGAAAAAGTGTCAGGATTGCGACCGATTTCGAGAATATGGACGCCGACAATGGCTCTGGGAACGAACAGGAGGAAGAGCGCCACGAACAGTCGCAGGATGATATTTCTAGTGAGCAGTCATCTGATTCTGACGGGGATGACGACATGGAGTACGAGCAAGACGAGGACGATGAAGACGACTTGGCAAAAGAGCTGGAGGATCTCCAGAATGAAGATCTCCAGAACAATGCAGAGGAAGACTACGAACGCGGCAAGGACCAAGACGAGGACAAAGATGAGAATGAGGACGAGGACCAAGATGAGGAGTCCGCCGACGATGAAAGC